AGATCAGTCAAATCTACCGAACCTGTACAGAAATTAATTACTGCAAATAACAGATAAAATATAAAGTTTTTCTTAAAAAACGTTAGATAACTGTCTGAACATTACAAAGATTTTGCATGTGAAAAATTATTGATGCATAAAAGTATTTTTAATCTTAAATTGAAAATTAATTTGCATGTTGGATAGGCAACATGCAAAAAGAATAAAAAGCCATGAGAAACACATTGCTTTACAAACCTTAAGACTTAATAAAAAAAATTTAATACTTTGCGTATGAAAGCATTGTAATGTTTACTGATAATCTGCCTAATTTCGTTAACATACACTTACTAATTTAAAAGTAATAGCATTAAAACTATAACAAGCACAAAATGGTTACAAGGTCAGTCCCAGGGACTGAGCCAGTGCTGAAAGAGTTAATGGCTAGACAGAAATAAACTCACCTGGTTTTTCCCTTTTAGAAGCAAAACATTTGTGATTCGACCAAAAGGAATTCCAAGATTGATTATATCAGTCTCCATGGCTTCATTTGGAATGTTCCGTACATGGACCACTCGAGAAGGGTTGTTCAAGTTTCTATCCAGCTTTACCTGAAATAACATGTGAATCTCAAAATTTATTTAGAATATTTTTTTTATGACATTGATATCTCAGAACACAGTTTTATGCTACCAGATATAACAGTTCTGCATCAGTATATTCAATTTGTTTGCTTTTAGAATTTTATGCAAGATTACTCAAAAGCTATCTATACTAGTCATTCATAATTTAGAAGTAGTAGACTAGAAGGAAGGCAGCTAGTGAACACCACCCACCATCAACTCTTGGGATACTCTTACCAACAAAACAAGTGGGACTGACCATCAAATTATAACACCTCCACTGCAGAAAAGGCAAGCAAGTTCAGTGAGTGTTTTGAAACCTGCAACCCTCAGACTACTAGTCAAGCAAGTTCAGTGAAGGTTTTGAAACCTACAACCCTCAGACTACTAGTCAAGCAGTTCAGTGAGGGTTTTGAAACCTGCAACCCTCAGACTACTAGTCAAGCACTCTAATCACCAGGCCCTCAGTATATTAACTTAATTTTGTAAGCTAAAAATACTATTGTGCTCACCGTTTTCAGGGTATTCCACGAACTACTAAAAGGACTCATGCAAGATTTGAATGAGCAAGTGGTAACAATCTGGTTTGTGTTAAGAACTTTGTACAATCACTGAAATTCTGCTTACCTTTTTGGCATCATTATTGTTCTCTTTATGACCAGGTTTGGGAGTCATGATACCACCATTACTAACTGCAGCTGTCTGAGAAAGTAGCTCGTCAGAACCCCTCTTAAAAAAAAAGAAAAATAATTAAACTAGAATATACTATTGCATGGAATATTAGCTTTCAATAGTAAATAATGCAAAACATACACTAATTATAGTTTGTTTGTTTTTAAAAGAAGAAAGTGACACCCTATTTTGATTACCACAGAAACTCAACTTCTGATTAATCATGAAAGACAAGCAGAATATATTTAAGACTATAAACTGAAAAAAGGGCATTCTAAATTGTTACTAGCAATCTCACACTTAAAGACTCGCATGACAAGATGAGCAAATGTTTAAAAAATTTTGAGCATACACTTTCCTTTCACAATATTCTAAGACTTGTCATAAGTACAATATAAAGAACCCATATATTTGTATACTTTTGCTTTAAACATGAGATTATAAAGATACCTGTCCCCCCCAAAAATAAAATACAAACTCCAGACAATTATGTGTGTGTGTATATATATAGATATAAATGTACATACTGTTGGTTTAAGAGATTAACATTTCTCATTACAAACACCCACTGGAAGTAATATCTCAGAATAATCATGTAAAATACCCATGACTATACATAACAACGCCTATCTTCTGCATAAACATATAGGTAAGCCAAATGTAAGGGTGAAATACATACTAAAGATCTGTACACAATATCAGAAAGCGCACTTAGGCTTAGCTTAGTTTCTTGGAAGAACTTTTGCTTCGAATTCAAAGTAGAATTTTTCCTCCCAGTCACCATTTCCAGGAATACGATCTGTAAACAGCTACATAATGATCACCATGATGACGTCAAGCTTGAGAAAGTACAACTGGCCGAGTTACAGCTTACACTATTACGGTGATTACTTCTGAAGGACGTGAAGATGAAATAATGTCTTTGTTTAAACAACTTAGAAAGGCTTTACGTGGGGCAATGTTGCATCTACGACGTGGATATTATAGCAACAGCACATACACGTGTTCTTTCCACAGTGACCATTCTTCCTTCCTTCCGCGCTAACAAAATGCAGTTCAACCACAAAAAACTTACTTTGGATAATTGAACAAAGTCATTCCTGTTCTGATCACAATAATGACGCACTGTAGTAATGACGGCGAATATTCTCAGATAGATAATTAAAAAAAAGCCTTAAGATGTTAACTTACGGATATAAAGGTAGTACTTTAACTAACCTCATTACTATATACTGAAACCGCAGAAGCACTCTAGAAAAAACCTGGATATATTCCACAAAAGAAATGTCAAAGTAACCCGGAAATCTCCAGAACAACATGTGATAGTACTTATTACTAAGCAGGTTTTTCTGGTCAAAGCTGTCTCGAAATCAACTATAATTCTCAAAATGCCATGTGTATGTTCCTTGCAATAAACGCAACAACAACAATAATCAAACTAGTTAATATAGCAAATTTGTGGGTTTCAGTGCTAAATTTACATTTGACTGTTGGTCATACCGATTTCGTAGTTTTGATTATATATTTTAACGTGCATACAATATTGTTTATACTGTTTCCTCTAAGGCAGAAAACCTACACGTATGTAAACGGTAAGGTAAGATTAGTGTATTAACAGGTTAAATATAGCCACACCCACTCAGTGAAAATGTGAATAAACAGCATTCAACATAGCATACACTAACTATTAACCGCACAGAATAGCAAGTTCTAATGAAAATCAGTATGTTTATAAACAATGTTCATAGTTAAGTTGCCGCTCTACAGCAGCTAACATGACGGAGGGTCAAGTAGAATTTTTTAAAGTTACAAAATAAATTTTGTTTGAAATTATTATAATAAAATTAAACATATGGGACACTAGCATATTTACTAGACCTTACTACGCAGCTTCCAGAAGGAAAATCGTGCTATTTTTAATGCTAAACGAAATATGTGGTCTTGTTTAATACACTAATTTTATTTATTAATTATTGTTGTTTGTGCTCTATCCATTGCGGGGTATCGAACCACTGATTTTGGCGTTGTTAGTCAGTAAACTTATTCTATCAATTAAAAAAAATAAACTGTGGTTTTATGGTGTCACTTCTTTTTTAGCTGGATTATTGACTTAAACATTTATCAGACCTAATCTAAATATAGAATTGAAGTGTATTGCCATGTTACATGAATTTATTTTCTTTACTTGCGCTTCCCAAGTGCTTTGCGGGAAAAGATAGCATCCTGGCTCCTGTCTGTCTGCGTTTACATGTGGGTGCAAGCGTGTAAAACACGTAGCTTACAACCGCAACGAGGTAGGATATATATATATATATATATATATACACACACACACACACACACACACACACACACAAAGAATGATTTAAGGTTTCGGTTACAAAAAATCTCCAATTTCTCTTGCAGAATTACATAATCCAGTGATATTTAGTAGTAAAATAGTTTAAATATTCAGGTTGTAAAAACAACTCCTGATTTTTCTGTAGCAGCACATATACGCATAAATGAAATCTAACCACGATTATTAATACACAACGTGACTGCACGATAAAATGTCAAATCCAATTTTTGTTACAGCCTTTGTATTTTATAATGAGATACAACGATAAATATAATTAATTAGTTCAGGTTACTAAAGGTAGAAACATATTCTAGATCTGTTGGAACTTTTAATAAAGGTTACAATGATTCGAATGAATATCAGCCACGGCTGTAATGTTTAGGCTCAAGTAAAAAACTACCGGGGCGAAGGCGGAATAATCTGTAATCAAGGAACCAGTGGATTTAAATCACTTATAATATAAATGATCACATTATGCCATTATATGGGAACATAAAAACACCATGCAGGGCATGGCAATGTATTCTAACTATTTAACAAAGTCAGCACTGTTTTGTTTTCCTAATCGTGTATATATATATATATATACACAGAATAGTTTTGCTTAGAAAGATTGGCTCGTACAAAATAATAAAAAAACATATAAAGTTTTTCGACATGTGGGCCTGTCTTCATCAGTTGCCTCTGATGAAGACTAACCCAACTGTTGAAAGCGCTAGTGTTTAGCATGTTTTAAGATGGACGCGTACACACCTCTACTAGAGGCTATGACGTCACAAATGAAATTTCTATAAACATTAATTGGTGAGATATTTCATTATTAACAAATTACATATGATACGAAAACAAGTATAACTGTACGTCGTAAGTTGAACTCTTTATTCAGTAGTAGCTAATTTGTATAGAATTTATAGAATCTACCTTTTCCTGCTACAAATTTGGCCCACTAATCTTCAAAACAGCAATGGTGTTGCTTAAAATAATCACGTTAGTAATAGTTTGAATTATTTTCTCTATGTATAGTGTATGAATTTTAAACACGCTCCACGTAATATCATATTAATCTTAATAAGTCTCGCAAACTGCACGTCTTGCTTTCTTATTAAACAAATTACGTTATACTATGAATTAAAAAGGTTAAATGCTTTAATAAAAGGTGACGCACACAATATAAGCATGTGTTGATACTTAAACGTGACTAAAAAAATTGAAAAACAAAACAAGATGATTCCACACATTTAACCTGAATATTTGAGTCATCAAATATTTAGTATGATTAAGTATACAGTCAGCTTTAAGTTATCAAAGAATGAATGCCAAAATAAATAATCTCAATAACCCATATAGAAAAAACGAGTCTTCCAGACAAAACCAGTGACTGTAGTGGCCTTATTTTTTTTAAGGTGGGACAAGAAAACGACTACAAACTTCACAGACAGACAGGTATGCCACGCGTTCTTCTGTCTATATTGTTGTCACATCCAGCCATACAAAATCCTGACCAGGAGTATTTCAAAGAAAATGTCACACTGTATAAAGCATATTTTATATTTTAAAAATGTTTTTCAGCGTAATGATGGAAATATATTAAACAATATATATATATACTCACCATCTGGTTAGTAATGACCAATTAGTAATGTTGTTCTACGCGATTATTTCTTTCTCCGGTTTACATGCGATTTGTCCACACGATACTTACGACTGTTTCCACCAATATAACGACGATTACTCTGTCGTAGTGTTTAAGGATACACAGAGAAAAGTTAGGATAGAGTGAAAATGCTAGCAAGCGTTACAACAGAATAGCTACAAAAACGAGAATAAGACGAGGGCGCAAACTGCTCAGATAAGTGTTAGTTCACTCCCGTTAGGCTAGAACATAAAAATTACGAGAGTATCCAAACGCAACGACTATGTTTAGTGCTTCTCTCCCAATGATAGTAGTCTCGTTCACAAGATCTGTACGTAATAGTCTAGAACGCTAACCAGACTGTCAGAAGCATACTGTACATGCGCATAAGTACTCAAGAGAGTTAGGTAGCGCCTTTTCCCGCCATTAAGCTTATCAAATAAAAATATCTTAAAACACAAATGTACGAATTTGTTTATACGTTTGTCTATGTAGATTGTTGAATGTTAAATACAAGAACTTTAATACAGTTTATACGTTTGTCTATGTAGATTGTTGAATGTTAAAAAGAAGATCTTTAATTCAGTTATACGTTTGTCTATGTAGATTGTTGAATGTTAAATACAAGATTTTTAATACGGTTTATACGTTTGTCTATGTAAATTGTTGAATGTTAAATACAAGAACTTTAATACAGTTTATACGTTTGTCTCTGTAGATTGTTGAATGTTAAATACAAGATTTTTAATACGGTTTATATGTTTGTCTATGGAGATTGTTGAATGTTAAATACAAGATGTTAAATACAAGAACTTTAATACAGTTTATACGTTTGTCTATGTAGATTGTTGAATGTTAAATACAAGAACTTTAATACAGTTTATACGTTTGTCTATGTAGATTGTTGAATGTTAAATACAAGAACTTTAATACAGCTATGAATAACATTAAAATAATGCGCTTACTTTTTGCAAAACAGATTCACTTAATTTTTCCCGATTAATAATTTTGACAGCAACTTTCTTTCCTGTCACACAGTGCACTCCGAGCTTCACCAAACCTGTAACAATGGAAACAGAACACACATAAACTTCTAGTTATATAATGTCAACATTAAAACCTTGAACTGTTTGCCCTTGTGTTCTAAAAACTAATATGTAACCACAGAAACACAACACAGACATGTTTATTAGTTACATAAAGGAATCAACAGTATTTACTCCAATTTCATCCAACCTATTATCTTGGAAATATAATATTAATTAAAAGAACGTAGTAGCATTTGTTAGGTCTCATTTGTACAACGTTTGACGAACCTGTCGCCATGAAAACAACAACAACAAAACTAAAGAACTTCCTTTTTTTTCATGGTGTAAATAAATTTATATAACAATCCTTATACCACAAAATATTTTAGGTTATTTTTTTAGTCTTGTGATCTGTGTTTTTTCACTTTGTAGCTCGGTAAATTAAATATTGAAATATATAACTTCATATTAAATTTTAAAATAATATTTGTAAGTACTGGGTGACTTGGAACTGAAAGATCACACTCGTCATATTAAGTAGACGTTAAGGTCTCGACAGAACTATCATGGCTTTAGTTGGGTAAATGTGTTTATATTTATATTAAAATACCAGCGTCGTAAATGTAAAAACTTGTAATCACGAACATATAGCAAAGTAATTTACCTAAAAGTTGCATAATATTATTCAGAATATTAAATAAGAGGTTTCACGTGTCCTTATTCAGCTTGAAAGTTGTCAATGTATTTAAGAAAAGTTATTTGTTTGTTATTGGTATTAAGCACAAAGCTACACAATGGGCTGTCTATGCTTTTCCCACCGTAGATATAGAAAGTCGATTACTAGTATTATAAGCCCACAGACTTACCGCTAAGCCACCGTGGGCTAAGAAAACGCCATATAGTTAAAAATAGAATGCTATTTTGACCATTTTACAATTTGATGACTTCAGTTTTAACTGTGGTTAGGACTATCAATTTGAAGTAACATCTACAATACTGAGTTTCACTTCCATCGCCAACACATGAGCCAACAATACCATTTCGGATTCTGTTAAACGAGACTTTTTATCTGTAGTGTAAAAGTTCCCTAACTAATATTTGTCATAAGACATTAGTATTAGACCTACTATATTTTTGATATTACATTCTTTATTCAGTCTCTTAGATTTTTTGTTGTGTTTTTTAAGAAGAGTTTATAATAGTAATTCAATTACACCGTAGAAGAGGTGTTCACACCATAACAACTGTTGTTGCAACAAATGACGTATATAAATAGTGTTCAGATCACTACTGTGTTTCTTGTGTCCCAGGCGACTTGATGAGCTTCGGTATTGAGCGAAACGCGTCGTCGCCAATGGATATTGGCTGACACGATGTGGTTGAAACACTATTATTACACTTTTCTTCTTCTTGAAAAACCTAAGAATCCCAGTAAAGAAATTAGCGTTAAAAATACAATACTAATGTCTTATGAGATATATAATTCATTACGATCATACTTCGTCGGCTTAGAAGTTCCCTGCTCGTGTAAAAACAGAAAAAAATTATAAAGAGAAAAGTTTTTGTATTTTTTAAGCGCAAGGCAGCACAGTGGGATATTTGTGCTGTAACCATCGAAACTCGAATTTTAGCGTTTCAACCCTCAAGTTTACTGCTGAGCGACCCTAAAAAATAATAATACATTATCATATAAAATAAAGCTTACAATGAGCCTTGACAACAAGAATACACTAAAAGTTGTTGGGAATTTACTGTAACCACTTAAGTCCTTTTATTACAGAGAGATGGGTGATTTGATTGGTTGAAAAGTCTTCCCAATTAAGCTATTGAAGCAGTTAAATGAGCAATTATTATGGTATGTTTTTGGTAAACAGTGTTAATTCTATTTTAACGTTTTAATTTTGAACTTGATACATATTTCATTGCGCATCCACTTAAGTATATTTTACCATAGGTTGAGAATTAGATAAATACCGAGGGTTTCGTAGACCGCGAATACACCATGTTAAGTCCTGCATATATATATAGTAACATATGTGTTTGTTTGTTAGAATATTCAAAGGAATTGGAGTTGCCAAGTCTCTAGAGAGGAATAAGCGGCACTGCCGTTCAAGACAAACCCAAAACAAGCGGCACTGCTTTTCAAAACTGCTCTTGTTTGGCTTAGCCTTAAAAGGACGATTTGCGTGATTTGCATAAGTTCACGATTTTGAGTGTGTTTTGTAATTGAGCAGGAATGGGAATAGGATGATATTAAAACTGTAATGGTGTGTAGGCTATTCACTGACCTAGTCAATCACCAAAACACTTCTGCAACTATTTTACACTGTGTTGAAATCAAATATTACAGGAAATCCCAAATTAGCGAGATCAGAATAAAACAAGCCCGAAAAAAACCGTAACCCATAACTCTCAAGAAATTAAAGCGACTTAAAAAAGGCCCAATTCCGCTTATAACAAGCGAACACTGAAACTGACTATGAGTTTAGTTATATATAAACAGACCTACTTTACTGACATCACGTAATGTCTTTGGATTAAAATGTCTTTCAATTCTATTTTCACTTTAACGCGATTACACGGTTGCGGCAATTTTTGCATAATTATACATTATCGCATAATTAGTCTAAAATTTTTCAGTTAGTAAAGTCGATTCTCGATTAGTGTTAACAGATTTATAGCTTGTTTCTTGTTGATTAACATGTGGTATCTGCAGGCTAGACTGTCAAAACGACTTCTAAACTTTAGAAGTATTTTTGTTGTGATGTACTTCCGCAGGTCCTCGAAAGTGTTCTGTTTCAATAAAACTAAAATTAAGAGTTACAAATATTTTC